TCATGGTCCTATGTACAGTGTTTCTTGCATCTTATATCTTTTTCAATAAATGTCTCTATTTTTCATATTACATGGCTGGATACTTTCTGAACAGACCTTGTATATCTGAATTACTTGACATATGAAAAATAGATGACCTATTCTCAAGGTGAAAGGCAATCAATGAATTTGACCCTGTAATGACTCAGATGTTGGAACTAACAGAGAAGAATTTTAAAGCAGCTATTATAACTGTATTTTAAGAATGTAAAGTAAAATAGTTTCATAATGAACAAAAAGACAGAAATTCTCAGTAAAACAAAATAAAAATTCTAGAACTGAATATTTCAGTATCTGAAATTAAAAATTCATTGGATAGAATTAACAGCAGAATGATGACAACAGAAAAAAGTAAGTCAACTAAAGTGTAGATTAACAGAAAATTTCCAGTGTGAAGAACACAGAGAAAAAAAGTTGGGAGAAAAAAAATGAACAAAACCTGAGGACTCACAGAGCAAGTCCAAAAGATGTAACATACACACAACTGAAGTTACAAAGGGAGAATCTCTTGTAGAAAAAAAATTTGCACATTTAATAGCCAAAACTTTCTTAAATTTGGTGAAAGATGTAACTTCAGAAGTTCAGTGAGCCCCAAGCAGAATAAACACAAAGAAAACCACACCGATGCACATCACAGTCCAATGCTGAAAACCAAAAACATATATATATATATGGTTAATCTTTTTATATTTAAGATGATTTCCCTAAGGCAGGCTCTTAAAAGCTTGATTCCATGGCCAAAAGAAGTCAATATTTTTGAATCTCCTCATAGATACGGCAAACTTCCCAAAAGAAACACCAGTGTGGCTGAAGTATAATGGGTACAAAGACAAGCACCCACAAGCAGAAATAAGGATGAAATCACGTGTAGGGACATAACGCAGGATTTTGTAGGTAAGGAGTTTGGGATTTTATCTTAATTTAAATAGCAAGCTGTTAGAAAGGTTTTAAGCAAGGGAATGACCTAGTAACTGTACTGAGTATATTAAGAAAATAAATTAAGAGAAACAAAAACTTAGCTGACTAAAAATATTAATTGTTTTGTCCAGTATCCCAGCTATATAATGATATGGATGTCTATGTACATGTTTATATATGTGTAAATATATACACACCATATATAAAACCAACCAAAAAAGACTTAAATATCCAGCAATAAGAAAATGGGAAATCATTAATGAATTATGATTCATAAAAACACAATGAAATAGTATGAAACTCTAAAAATGCTATTTATGAAGACCATCAATATAAGCATTTTTCTGTACTTGGTCAAAAATCAGGAGAAAATTATATGTATATTAGCTTTGTAACTATAAAGCATAAGTATATCAGTAATGGATAACAAATAATAAAGAAAAACAAAAAGTTATGTTAGATGATAACAATTTTTTACTAATTTTCAAATTTTTCTATAATATTGTTATATCATCATTTCAATTAAGTAAAATACTCTTCTACACTTTTCTACATTTTATTCCAATACAATTCTCACCTTAGGCCTGTAATAAATATTAACTGAATTTCAACAATTTAAAAAATTATTAAAAGAAGACACTTTTCTAAATCCTGTAGGTTTACTTAACCTGGAGTTCTTTTTGCTGCCACCAGCCAACAGCTCAAGGAAGAGGAACACCTTTGTTTTTAAACAAATAGCTGTTTCTAAACCTGATTTCTTTAGTTTTTGCCTCATAATAGATTGTCCCCATCTTCTCCATTTGTTCTATCAAGTTAAACAAACTGAGGAGGTTTTACCTGTAACTAAGCTTACCTGGTGTTATTAACATACATTCATGGCTGATCTTCATGACTGTCTTTCTTCCCTTTGGATGCCTCACGTACCATCAAAGACGATCTGCCTCACCTCATCCCTCACTCTCTTCCTCTGTCGTCTATCTTTCGAAGTCCTTTTCCTGTGCCACCCTTCCCTTTCATGACTCAGTATCCTCCTTATTTTCAAGATCACTGCACTACTCCATTATCTCTGTCCAACTAGTCAGTAGCAGAGTTTTCCACATCTAGGGAGCTCACGGTTCCCAGCTCCGTCTCCAGAACTGAGTAGTACAATTCATTAGAGCAGAGATTTCCCACTCTGTGTTGTGAAGAGGCTATGGGTTACTAAGATACCGATCCCCTCAGCCTTGGGGCAGCTGGAGCTCCTGGCTAGCTTACCCCTGACCTTAAGCCACCTCATTTGGTTAGCCCTAGTGCATCCTATAAATGTTATTAACGTTCTATTTGTTAACAAATGTTAACAAATGTTCTATAAATGTTCTATTTATGCCACAATGTGAAAAAAAAATTAAGAAGCATATAAAGCACTTCAGCAGACATTTCTCCAAAGAAGATGCACAAATGGCCAATAAACACATGAAAAGATGCTCAACATCACTAATCATTAGGGAAATGCAAATCAAAACCACACTGAGATACCACCTGACTCCCATTAAGAGGATCACTGTTAAAAAGAAAGTAACAAGTGTTGGCCAGGATGTGGAGAAATTGGAGGACCTAAGCACTGTTGGTGGGAATGTAAAATGGTGCAGCTGCTGTGGAAATGGGAATGGCAATTCCTCAAAATAGTAAAAACAATTGCCAGCAATTCCACTTCTAAGTATATACCCAAAAGAATAAAAAGCAGGCTCTTGAATTTTTAAAAACAGGGTCTTGAGGAGACACATATTTTAAAATATTATTTTATTCCTCAATTACTGTTGACAGCACTCTATTAGTTTCAGGTGTACAACACAGTAAGTAGGCATTTATATAACCCACGAACCAATCACCCTGGTTTAAGTGTGGTACCGGTCTGACACCACACGAAGCTATTGCAACACTGTTGCTACATTCCCTGTGCTGTAAGGAGGAGACAGCTGTAGTTCCATCTTCACAACAGCATTATTCACAAGAACTACAACAAAAAAGCAGCCCATGTGTCCACCAATGGATGAATGGGTAAGCAGAATGTGGTATAGTAGTCCCCCCTTACCCAAGGGGGATATGTTCCAAGTCCCCGATGAATGCCTGAACCCTGTGTGTACTAGTGCACAGTACTGAACCCTTTGTGCAACTAAGTTTTTTCCTATAGATATTGTACACACCCTTTCACTTAAAGGAAATATTTTGTGGCTTTTCTTTGGCACACCCGGATTGCCATCATCACTACTCTTGTGCTTTGTGCCATTATTAAATAAAATAAGGGTTACATGAACACAAGAACGGCCACACCGACAGCTGATCCAATAATCCGGGTGGCTACTAAGTGACTGAAGGGCGGGGAGCACCTACAGCGCGGACACTCTGGACAAGGGATGATTCACGTCTGCATGGGGCAGCATGAAATTTCATCATCTTACTCAGAACAGCACACAATTAAAAACTTACGAAGTGTTTGTTTCTAGAATTTTCCATTTAATATTTTCAGACTGGTTGACCATGGGTAACAAAACACGCTGTGGATAAGGTGTAGACTATTATACGGGGTGGACAAACGTAGGTTTACAGTTGTGAGTACAAAAAAAGAGTTTACCCTTGCATTATTATTTCTTGATTATTGTATCACTTTCCATATGAACAACTGTAAACCTGCATTTGCCCACCACAGTATATATGTACAATGGAATAGTATTCAGCCTTGAAAAGGAAGGAAATTCTGACACATGCTACCACATGGGTGAACCTTGAGGTCGTACGCTAAGTGAAATAAGTCAGTCACAAAAAGACACGTACTGTATGATTCTGCTTATACGAGCTACTTAGAATAGTCAAAATCACAAAGGCAGAAAGTGGAATGGCGGTTTGCAGGGGCTGACGAGAGGGGAAATGTGGAGTTGTGTCTTGGGAAGAGTTTAGTTGTGCAAGACGAAGCATTATGGAGATAAATGGTGGTGATGGTTGCACAGCACGAGTGTCCTCACACCACCAGCCATCTATGGAGTAATAGTTAAAGTCGGAAATTTTATGGTACGTGTACTTTACCACAGTAAAACATTTGGGAAAAAACTGAGAAGTATCAATGCTTGACATACTGAATATCTCTTTAATTGCTTCAAAATTGATATTTAAACTCAATAATTGTACAGATCATCAAATTAAACCATACATTTTTATACTGAAATACAGATTTCTCTAGCCTTCTCTCCAGAGTATAGAGCTCACCTGAGACATAAACACTTTGAGGAAGCTGATGTTTCTCTCACAGCTCTTTGTCTTGTAATGGCATATATTTTGCGCCTACCAGTTTAAATGGAAAATTTCAAATATATACAAAGGAAGAGAGATAGAAATAACGAAATCGCATATGGCTATCACCCAGCTTAAACAATGAATCAACTCATAGACAACTTGTTTTATCCACAATTCTACCCACTTTACTCTTCTTCCCCCAGTGTGTTATTCTGAAGCCAATCTCAGACATCATATCATTTCAATCATAAATATTTCAGTATGTTATCTCTATATACCAAAAGATACTGTGGAAAGATACATATCAAATATATGACCAGCCTCCTGCATAAGTTCCTGTACCGGTGGGTCAGTGTCTGATATAAGGAATCTTCCTAAAGACTCTTCCAGTAAGCCATACATTAGACACAGGAATTATAATACATTCAGTCATTCTATTGTAGTTCCTTACAAGTTAAACCACTAAGGAGGGCTCTCAAACAAGAAAATCGAGAAGAAAAGGAGTTAACTAGTTAGTTTTCATTGTAATAGGCTCACTGATCGAGTATGGTCTTAGAGACTTCTTAGGAAAGAGATGGAGAAAAGTCACACACTCTCTCCTCCTCTCAGAGGTGACTAATTTTCATCTGATACAAGTTATTTGGTGTATGATAACAACGCGGTAACAGTATATATGTATTATTATACAGAAAATAATGCATGTACCTTCATGTTTTATAAAACAAATGCAGTACAACTGGCTCAATGCAGAAAATTTTTTATTCAACTGTCCTTACCTTTTGTTGGACTGAGATTCTGATCTATAAATCCTCTTAATTCTGTATTTGTGGAACTCAAACCAACCTGAATAAAATAGTTTTAAAAGTTAAAAAGAAGATCTAAAGTATTACATGATCACTTAACAAGCTATTTTATACCTTCCACCAGAGGTCCACATCAAATGTTCATATAGCCACATAAAAATGAATTAATTAACAACTATAGGAGAAGGATTTAAAAGAAAATGTTGCCATATTACTTGGCATGGGGAAAATATGAATGGTTCAGATAAAGTGAAATTAATAACATGGTACTTTATGAGCAGAACTTAGGTCTACAAAATTTACTGACTTTTTTAAAAACAAGTACTGCACCAGCCATGACGTCACCCAAGTTTCTCACCCTCATCGCTGCCCTTAATCTTTCTGTTCAAAACTGCTGCCTATAATGCTTTCAACATTGTGACCTGGAATGGGTCAGACAAAGACCATTCCGAGTGGGACTTGTTTCATGACAAGCTGGAAGACTTTTGTGACTTGGACCTGCAGCAGTGCGGCATGGCCCGTGAACACAGCTGCCCCAGCGGGGTGTGGCAGGCCGTGCAACTGCAGGTGCTGTAGGAACAGTTTTTACCCAGGGCCTGTCTTCTCAATCCCTCACCTTTCCCCAAGGAATATGCTGCTTTCTCTGTTTAAAACAGTTACCAAAAATAACCGCAACACAACGCAGAGGTGAAGTTCACTGGCTCGAGGCCAGTGTTTAGGTTCCAACTCTGGCTCAGCGAGCCTGCCATGCGTGTGGCTGTGGTCAAGTCCCACAAGCTCTGTCTACTTCTGTCTCCTCATCTGTAAATTGGAGGGTGCCAGGGTACTTACCAATGCAGGTGGTTAGAAAGAGTAAGAAAGATAATTCATGCAAAGCATACAGCGCCGTGCTTGCCACAGAGTGCTCAATGCAAGTTAACATTCATTGTTAGTATGGTACTTGAGGAAGTATGTTTATGGACTCACCTTCAGACAATTTACCTCACTTAATGTGCTACCTACTGGACTATTTGGAATCAAAAGTGAATACAGTAGTATCATCAAACACAGTTTTTCAATTTATTATAGAGTCTAGGGTGGGGAAGTCTATTTTGGAAAACTTGATAAAGAGCAAGCATCCAATAAATGGTTCTACTATTACTATCGTATTATTGTTTTAATCCTTGTAGATTTGTAATCCTCAAACACTGATGCTAATTTGGTGCCTTAAATATCCTTTCAAAGTGCTATCACACAGACAGGATTTCAAAGCACACAAAGCTTTATCACTTTATATATGCACACTTGCCTTATGCTTTTAAACTACCTACTACTTTAACATTATATATCCTACCATAAGCACTCATTTGATACCTTAGCTATTCATTCCCTTATTTGGTAATTAAATGCTCTACCAATAGCTGTTTTTCTGGTTTTTGTTTTTTTTAAGAGATATTATCAGAAATATTTTTAAATATCATTCATATCATGGAAAAGTAATTCTGATGCACATCTATTGCTGGCATCTAATATTAAATTTTTATGACAGAAGCTGAGATGAAGACATCTAAAATACAGGGATTTTTGCCCTGGCCAGGTGGCTCAGATGGTTGGAGCATTGTTCCATACTCATACATCAAAAAGGCTGCAGGTTCGATTCCCATTCAGGGCACATACCTAGGTTGTGGGTTCAGTCCCCGGTCAGGGTATGTACAGGAGGCAATCAATTGATGTTTCTCCCTCACACTGATGTTTCTTTCTCTCTCTGTCTTTCTTCCCCTCTCCCACCACCTCTCGCTAAAATGAATAAACATATCCCGGGGCGGGGGGGGGGGAGGATCAAATAAATAAATAAAACATAGCTGTTCAGTTCTATGTAGACTATGGTATAGATACTTAATTCTGTCTAGCTTCTCACAAGTATTCTGTTAGAAGTAAAACCTCTGCAACAAAATTTGCAAATTACCACTACATGGATCTCCAGAAATGCTCATGAGTGCTAATGGTAAGTGTTTAATTTGCAAATGCCAAGAGTTTATTGTGGCATCATTAACATGCCTCTACTTTTTAAACTCTTCTGCTATAAAAAGAAGAGAAAGACAAAACATCTGTTGGTGTTCTACTGTAAAAAGAAGGCTAAGACAGCCTCTAATCTATCCCATGCTTAATACACTGGGACTATTTAGTACATGTGTTACAATAACCCCAAAAGCATCACTTTATACCTTTTTGTTATTATACAAAGACAACGGCAAAAACCTCAACTAAAACCACACATTCACAGCCGAGAGTTCACAGTTATTGGGTTACTGTTATGTTCAAACACCTGCTCTTAATGTCCAACTTCTGCAGAGTGAAGCAGCAAACGAATTTAGACATTTTTTTAGCAGCTGCACACCTGCACCTTAATAATCAACAAATTATACTCTACAAAGATGGAAGTCAACTGTGAGTCAATATTGTCTGCTAATTTTGGTCTCACAGATGAAGGGAAGGTGTTTGTATTTACAGTTTATATAAATACTGCCAAAATTTATTTAATTAAAACTTCAAAATGTACTAATTTCTGCCTTCATAAACACTCTACAATTTAAGGACTCAAAGAAAAATTAGATTGTTTGAGAGTAGAAAAAGTTGCTAGGAAAGGCTTTTAAAAGCATTAGTTATTCTTTCCTTATTTAAAAAGGATCTTTCTATAATGTTTCACAGAGCAAGAGAAAAAAATGAACTAATTTTATGTAAAATTTTTCATCTAATGAGGTCCTGAGAAAAGGTTTCTATCTGGACATTCAAACACTGTGTTGCATACTGTAAGCAGTCGTAACTGCCTATTGAGTAAAAAATATCCAAGCCCAATTTTTAAGGCTCAAACCATATTCCCCAATAATGGCATTGTATTTCACTAATACATAACATTTCAGATAAACTAAAAGGAAACAGAATCCAGAGCTCTATCATTCACAAGCGAGGTGGTCTTGGAACAGTAGCTGCAAAATACGGATAGCACACGTGTACAAAAAACTCAGAGAGCTCCTGGAAATTACTCAAGTACTCAATACTCAAGTGTGGACTGTCATTCAATGGCAGTGGCTTTTGATACTTTAACACTGACCAGACAATTTATAAAAGAGAAATGCTAATGACTTATAAACATACAGACTACAGTTTGACCTAATTAGCAATATAATCAGAGAAATGTAGTAAGTCACATACCACTTTTTGCTGATTAGATTGGCAAAGAATAAAAAGGAATAAATGAAAATGGGATTCTGATATACCACTGGTGAATATATAAACTGGTGTGATCTTTCTGAAATGCAATTTAGCAACATGAACCAAAATCCCCCAAGAAAGCACATACCCTTAGAGCCAGTAATTTCATAAGACTATGTATGACTCATGGAAATAATCCTAAAAGTAAACAAACATTTAAAAAATTTTAAGAAAAAAATGGAAATAATTTAATGGCTACTATTAGGAAACCAGTGTAATGTCTATATAACAGACAACACAAAACAGCCATTTAAACGATGTTGCAGAGATATCAAGACAAGACATTAATCATAGAGATTAAGCCAAATAGTAGGTTACAAAAGTGTGACCTCATTTTTATTAAAAAATACATAACATACATACACTTGGTTTATATATATATACACCTGTATATAATATATCAGGCAAAATTTTGCTCATAATCTCTAGGCTAGTTTCTTTATCTGTATTTTCTAATTTTTCTGTAGTAAGTATTATGACTTATATACTTTTAAAAGGATTCTTGACAGGGCAAAAGAAAAACCACCTCAAATCAACTTTTTAATTTTTTTATTGTATACTGAGTGTGCTTAAGGTAGACACCTGCACTTTGGGTCTTGAGGAGTACCACTGGATACTAGAAACTATTGGATAACAATTTTATCCCAGATACAAGGAATATATGGCCTTCTTGGCCGAGCTTCCTTTTATAATGTGACCCATCCTGCACCCCATGTGGTTCGGGTAGGACTGCTCATCTCATCTCAGAGCCTCAGCTGTGCCCGGCAGCAGAAGTGGACCCTGACCCAGAGCGAGCCATTTGTGGTACCCCACTTCCTCCTTCACGCTGGCTTGTCTAAGCATGTGGCCAAGTAGGGTCAGCCAAAGCTTCTGTGTGGAATTTGAAATATAAATGCTAACAAGGAAAACTTCCTTCTCTTCCTCTGGGATAAACATGCTAAGGCCAATGTAGCCTGTTATGCCACCACAGAGAGCCCAGAGATGGAAAAAGAGAAACAGAGCCCTGACACCAGCATGTGACCCCCTGAATCCAGGTGTGTCTGAAGTCAGAGTACTCCCGACTTTTCAGTTATGTGAGCCAATACGTGCTACTTTTTGCCATAAGCTATTTTGAATAGGCTTTCTATTGCTTGCAACCGTAAGAAACTAAGTATGGCATAGACAAGGCAAAAGCAAGTCCACAAAAAACAGCTCTCATAAAAGAAATGCAAAATGGGAAACAAAAAAAGATGTAAAGAACAATATATGCATATGTTTAAGGATAACTCCTTAAGAGCAGGCCATCTCTTCCACATCAAAGAATCACTTTTCAGTGATATGTGACACAATCAATCAATCCCTCCTTTGTGAAACACCTTCCTCACTCTGTGTCGGAATCAAGGTAACACTTCCTCTCACTTTTCCAGCCATCCCTTCAGTCTCCTCAGTCCTCAGGTATTCTCTGCCTGTGCATGTACTACATAATCTCATATAGTGCCTCCGATTTAAAGTGATTTAATAGGAAAAGACTCAAAAATTTCTATATCCAGCACTGAGCTTCCCCAAGCTCCAGTCATTTGCTGAACTGCCCAGCCAATATCTCTGTTGGGATGTTTTCAGGTCCCTCAAATTTAATATATCCAAAACAATTTTGGAGTTTGCCACAAAATCCTGCACTACCCCAAGAGGTCCTCTTTGCCGAGTTACGCAAGCCAAATACTGTGAAGTCTTCCTTACCTTCTCCCCATCCCTGTATCCTAGTAAGTTCTGATGGCTGTCCCTTTAAACACATCCTAGATGCAGCCACTT